TTGAATTATTTAAATAAATGACCAGTCAGGGAGAAAATTGGTAATGTAGATGACAGATTGTATTATGGATGCAGTACAAGTTTCTTTCCCAATATATGCCCAGATGAAAGCACAGCACAGTTGGAACAGACTTTATGTAGCTTAAAATTTTCACCTCATAAAACAGCTTCTTCCATGCCATGTCTTTCCACTCTTTAGCAGCAACTGTTAAATACTTCCTCCAAAGGCTGCCCATTGAATTTGGGGGCAGTATCAATTTTGAAAACATTGTTCCTGGTACTGAAATAAATTTTGGCTCATCAAAGATCTGCTCATAGGCTTTAATTTAAAAAATAATAATAAAATTATTCTCACCTTCTAATTTTCCCAGTGCTTCACAGCTGGTTATGCTCCTACATACTGGGAATGTTTGATACCCTCTAGCTATAAAAATTTATGGTATGGAACCCCTTCTATGTTGACCCAATTCATAGGATTGTGCTCCTTCCTCAGTTTACCCATCTAATACCTTATTTTTCTACTGAAATCACTTTATTTAAAACAAAATTTTTATTAAAATATAGTCAACATACAGTATTAGTTTCAGGGGTACACCATAGTTATTCAACATTTATGAACCTAAAGAAGTGATCAGCATGATAAGTCCAGCAACCATCTGACACAGTACCACGCTATCACGTTATTATTGACTGTATTCCCTATGCTGTACATTACATCCCCATGACTTGTTTTATACCTGGAAATTTGAACCTCTTATTCTTCTTCACTTTTTCTCCCTTTAAAAAATTTTTTTTCAATTACAGTTGACATTCAAAATTATTTTGTATTAGTTTGAGGTGTACAGCATATGGTTAGACATTTATATAACTTATGAATTGATCCCCCCCATTAGTCTAGTACCCACCTGGCACTATACATAGTTATTATAATATTATTGACTATATTCCTTATGCTTTAGTTTACATCCCATGACTGTTTCATAACTACCAATTTGTACTTCTTAATCCCTTCACCTTTTTTATCCCACCCTCCAACACCCCCTCCCATCTGGCAAACACCAGCTTAGACCCTACATCTATGAGTTTGTTTCTGTTTTGTTTGTTCATTTATTTTGTTCTTTAGATTCCACATATAAGTGAGATCATATGGCATTTGTCTTTCTCAGTCTGACTTATTTCACTTAGCATAATACCCTCTAGGTCCATCCATGTTGCCGCAAATGGTAACATTTCATTCGTTTTTATGGCCCAGTAATAGTCCATTGTATATATGTGCCACCTCTTCTTTATCCAACCATCTGTTGATTATAATAATGAGTTTTACTTCTTCCTTTCCAATTTTGATGCCTTTTATTAATCGTATCTTTTTTAAGATGGAATAGTTTTTTTTATTAAAATATACTTGACATACAATATTATAGTAGTTTCAGGTGTACAACATAGTGATTCGACATTTATTTACCTCACAATGTGATCACCACAATAAATCTGGTAACCATCTGTCACCATACTAAATTATTATGATATTATTGACTATATTCCCTGTACTATGTATTACATTCCTGTGACTTATTTATTTTATAACTGGGAGTTTGTACCTTATTCCCCTTGTTTACCCATCCAACACCACCTTCCCCTCTGGCAACCATCAGTTTGTTCTCTGTATCTATGAATCATATCTTTTTTCAAAACGTATATTAGGCTCCCAGCTATACTAATCTCCAACTCACTCCTCTGTTGGCCCCACAGCAGTGTGTTTCTCTGAAAAGTAAGCATTCGTGAGTCTAAGGTTCCTTCTCTTCCTCACTGATACAACATGTTCCATACTGTATCCCACTGAAGACACAACATAAAGATTTCAGTGGACTTTAACAATTGGAATTTCCTCCTTTAGTACAAATAGTTTCATGTCACTTTAAAAATGACACAACTGACAGGCTCTTATCAGTGTGTGTGCAGTAAGTGAGGCTGTGTTACATCCACTTGGTTCCTGTTCTGACCAACATGCTATTGTTTGCCTGGGCCGGAGATTTCTGGTTGTGGCCAAAGAACTGACTGAAGTAAATGGTTCTATCTGCATTATGCTCATTTGCCTCAACTCATAGACCCAGAATGTGCTAGAACGCCATGTTTTATGGTATGTAAATCTTCCTTTGGAAAAATAGATATTTCTATGAACCTCTGCTCCTGGAAGGTGGCATTGTATTTGGAGATAAATGGCTGGCACTGTGACCATGAGTAGATAAAAACACAGTACAGCCTCCATGTAGCATATCCAAGCTCCCATAGTGCAAGTCCAAATGAGCAAATCTCCCAAAAAGAAAACTTTCCTCTCGATAGAGAGCCTGTGAGTAGGAAGAGGCCTTAGCAAATATGCATGTATATTGAATGGTATTTATATTGGGTTATCAGAAAAGTCATGACGTATTTTTTCTATGTTTTTCGTTGCAAAAACGCGTCGTGACTTTTCTGACAACCCAACAGATCACAGCTGAAGACTAGTTGCCTTTTCATTTTCTTCCATAAAATTGAAATGTAACCACACGTTATAATTTTTTTGTCACATGGCAGAATAATGACCTTTAATGATGGCTTTTTTATTTGTAAGCTGTTCAAGCCTAATCTTCTAAGGCACAGAATTGCCAAGGAGATTGTCACTATTATATTGTCCTTGAGTACCCAGTAGTGAATATGAAGACCCTAGAAAGCTTTCTTTACATGAAATCAAGTCTTCTGAAAAGATACAGGCCACTGGTAGTGAAATGGAGCTTAACATCTTCTGCAAATATTATATTCTTCCCTCATTACCACTTTCTAATGGAATGCAAGAACACTGCTCTACAGTCTATGCTGAGAACAGCATGTATTGACCTCTTGTCAGTACTTCAGTCTAGCGTTCTCAGTTTACTGTTGAGATATAGTGTAGCTATTGACAAGCAAAAGGAACTGCCAAAGATAGAGCATATATTATTAAAGCAGTTCATTTTCTCATCAACAGTTTATGTCTTGCTCTGGATAATTAGTGAGGTCTTGGAACGAATTAGTATAGTATTGGGGAATGTGTGTGCCAATAGAATATACATACATTGAGTTAGAAAAGAAATGTACTCATTTATGACGGGGCTGAGCAATGTGAATGGCATGCACAGAGAAACTGAACTCTGAGATCATGCACATGGTTTTCAAATTATACTCCTACAATTGGCCCATTGATTACTCTTTGTCTGTAAGTCTGACCTGGGGTCATTATGTTTCTAATGTTATACTGTTGCCTATCTCAGACGCTAGTTTTAAATTCACCCCCATCACCCTGCATAAACTGAAGAAAAAGACTCTATTTCAACTGAACAGCCTGGGGAGATGTCAACCAGAGGAAATAATTGATCAAATGAACTCATGCCATTTCTATGGCCAAAATATGTGCAGGGGAGATGGGAATCCAGGGATTAATCCAGATATGCTGCCTCTAGATGATTCCAAGCATCTAGATGTTCTTATGGAACATAGGCAGTCTAGTGTTCTGTCCCTGGTATGTGCTGCATAAGGCTACCTAATTCCTACCTAATTTCTACCTAATTCCATCTGCAAAGAGTAAGGATTCACTTCAAGACTTTCACTGTTTCTATGGACATGTGGCATTCTATGCTCATGGTCTATCCCAACCCTCAGTACTTTTAGGTTTCTGTCTTTCTGAAATAATTCTTTCAATTGTATTTTGTATAATCATGGTTCTAGCAGGAAACCTTCATCTCAGGTAGTTCAAATGAAAACACTAATGAGCAGATTTCTTACAGATGTGAGGCAGATTAAGGGAAATCACTATGGATGCTGAAGCACCCAGAGACTAGCAACAGCCGGAAGCTGTAACCATCTCTAGGGCTGAAGGGTGAAGAGAGGTAAGGGTATTTGCAGAGCTCACTGAGCGCTGGGCCCATGCGGGGAGAGGCCACCCAGCAGGAGCTATACTTGTGAAGGAATGCAACTCCTGCCAGTGTCCTGTTGGTGCCCCCAAAGGGCTAAAACCCATCCAGAAGACAACCAGCAAGGGAGGGAGGTTCCATAAAGCAGACCTGGGGAAGGTGGAGTAGGGGGATGGAGAACAAATCAGCATCCATTTAGAGGTTACTGCTTTTGCATAGAAGGATCAGGTGGGAATCTAAGCACTTGAGACGATTCCATGTCACCATCATTTTTGACCGGACAACTGCACTTCTATCCTCACCAGTCTCCGCACATCCACACTTGTCTCTGTCCCATTACAACACTCCTGACGCCCGAGAAATCAGTTCTGAACAAATTCGATTGTCTCCCTCTGCCCTCTGCTGCCCTCTCCCCTCAGCGCTTGACCCTACAGTGGATTCCGTTGCTTTTGGGACAGAAACTAAAATCTTTACCAGGGCCTGCGGTGTCCTATCTGGTTGGGTTCCAACCAAATTCTTTCATCACATCTTGCTGCATTCTATCTTTTCTTCAGCTTCCTCCAGCATTTCTGGCTTTCTTTGCTTTCGGCCTGATTCTGAACCTTTGAAATGTTGCACCTTCTTCCTGGAATGTCATGGCTGCTTTTCCCTCTCTCTTCGTTTAATGCTTCTTAATCCCTCAGATCTCAGCCAAATAGTCACCTCCTCATAGAAGCTTTCACATAACTCCTAGATCAGCTCAGCTACCAATTTTTATATATTTTCTTATCCAGTTTATATTGTCTTCATTAAATCTTCTCAGTTTAAAATTCGACATGTATTTGTTGGACAATTAGCTTGCTTTCCATCTCTACTAGATAATAAGCATCATGAAGCAAAGAATTTACCTGTTTTTTTTGAGCCCTGTATCTGCAAACTCAAACCCCCACATGGTAAGCTTTCAGCAAATAGTCATAAACAACGTTGAAAGACCAACTAGGTACCCCAGCTATAGTTTCGGATGTTAATATGACATAAGATGCATGCATGTATGTTTGACTACTTGATCAGTTCTGAACTTATTATTCTGTTTTCTATGCAGAAAAACATAACAATATGCCCATTGTTTATATTGGATCTTCATGTATTTTACAGGTAAAGCAAAGTTGTTGGGTTTTCTTTGTTTTTTGTTTTTTTACAATTGTATTTTCAGGTTATGTCCTTGAAATGTCAGAGCTAAAACTCATGGGTAGCATTATTTATGCATGATAGAGGTTGTGTTTCTGTCTAAGAAATGAAAAATAAGGTTCTCTGAAAACTGTTTATAAAACACCTTTTTACTATCTTGCATTTTTCTTCCTATAAAACTCACATTTTCCTGGTTGAAAAAGAATGCAGTTGCCAGGAAAAAGGTATGAACATGAATGCATAATATTTAAAATTATTCAGAATAAATGTTCTTTTAGAGAGGAAAAACGTTATATCAGGGGAAAGGCTGTCTGCTTTCCAAGAGACCATTTCTGAAAAAATAATTATAAACCACATTTTTATGTGGTCTATGAAGTTCTGGATGGCAGGATTTTTGTGTAATTGGCTTAGCTATGTTTAGGGAGACATGGGTTTGGCCCTGTTGACGCATCCCTTATTAAGGCTGTTCCTACTCAGGCAAGAGGGAATATATGTGAGGGAAATACTTTAGAATTTTGTTGAATTAATTTAGCCAGTGACACAGTTATTTTCCACATTTTAAGAAGCAAAGAAAAAGGCATAACTCCTTTAGTACAGCTATTGGAAAGGAGCGTAAGTTGGTGCGTGTAAATGAGAGAATGTATAAGAAGTAGTTAGCATGGTGAGAGTAAATATTATGTAAAATCACACCCTACATTCTTTGTAAATATTAGTTCCCTTTCCTCTGCATTTATGGAGATACAAAAGTTGTCAGGGAAACACTAATTACAAAAGTACAGTCACACAGTTGGAGGGACAGGTCATAGGGACAGGTAGTGTATTCCCTACCTTTATTTGTATTCCTTCTCAACTGGGCATGAAGGAGATGGGACAAAAAGGTTTAAAGATTCAAAATGAAAAGGTTCAGTGGGGGATAAGAGAAGCTATGGGAGAGAAAGGTAAGTGCTGAAAAGACAAACAGTGATATCACTCTTACAAGGTATAGGCAGGTAGTGGAACGTCAGAACTGAGCAGCTTATCACTTTTTTTTAAAAGTACAGTAAAACCTTGGATTTCGAGTAACGTGGTTTGTGAGTGTTCCACAAGACAAGCAAACATTTCTAATACATTTTAACGTGGTAAACGAGTGATGTCTTACAACATGAGTAGTTTGTTTCCAGAACGAATTATGCTTGCAAACTAAGGTATTACTATAGTACTACCTGATTTTCCACCGGAGTCATACCCAGGATTCTGATATATTAAAAAGATAAAAGAGGAACTCATGGGGTTGTTGGTAGAAGGGGGAATGGGATAAGATTCCTACCCTCTCTTTTTTTCTACCCAACTCCACTCCACCCTGAAACTTCCGTGGTTCTACAGAACTCACCATGGAAACTTGGTTCTGTAACTACTGTTGGAATAACGCTATAGTGACATAGCCCAGAGTGTAACCACAGCACAATGGCCACAGGGTGTTTTACAGCCAAGTCTCAAAGGAAAACTAAGCTGTTACATAGTTTCAAATGGAGGTTTAGGAAGAGAAAGTCCTTAATTTATACTTAGGAGTGCCTTGCTTTAAAATGGCATCGTTCATTAATTGCTAATTCCATAGACTGAAGTCTCAAATTACTTGACAGTATTTGTTGCTTAGGCAATTTCAGTGCATTTTGTTACATATTTTGTTTGACAAGAAAAAGACTGGATCATTTGTTAAATTATTTATGTTACAGAAAAAAAATGAGCAGATCCTAAAATTGCTGAGTTGGTGTAACTATTGAAACTGAGTTTTACGGTAGAAAAGTAGTATGAGAAGAAATTAAGGAAATAGTCTGTTGTGCTCACTGTTTATTGTATTTAACTTCTATTCGGATTTACAACAATGGTTTTAAGTAATTTCAATTAAATTGTCAGTTGGCATCACTGAATGGAAAACAAACAATACAACATTATCAATAAAGCCTTGTCCTCTACAACCCCAAGTGGACGAATGCTCTGCTGAAGCCAGGCTAAGTTGGGAATGTAAAGTAAATGTCAGCCAATAGTTAAAAAGCAAAGCTGTGGGAGAGGAGTGACCGGTTAGCTCAGGTGTTTAGAGCGTGGTGCTGATAACACCAAGGTTGTCGGTTCGATCCCCGCATGGGCCGCTGTGAGCTGTGCCCTCCTTAAAAGAGTCAATTATGCCATTGTAGCATGAAAGCAATGTGTAACCAATGACCATGGCTGTTCCCCCAATTAAAAAAAAATTTTTTTAGGGCCGGCCGAGTGGCACATTGATTAAGAGCTGGCTTGGGACGCCAGAGGACCCCGGTTCGGATCCCACATATGAGGGCCAGTGACACTGTCCTCTACAGCTAAGATGCTGAACAACAGCTCAACCTGGAGCTGGGCTGCCGTGAGTCGCCGGCGATGGTGTAGGCTGCAGCCCCTGTGGCAGTGGGTTGCCATGGGCTACCGTGCGTGGCCAGCAGCCAGCATGAGCGGCCAGCAGCTGCAGTGAGCGGCCAGCAGCTGCAGTGAGCGACCAGCAGCCACTGTGAGCGGCCATCCAGAAGCCGGTGACTGATCTGCCTCGCCCGGGAAGAGCACAATGATGGTGCCAAATTAGGCCAGTGAAGCAATGTCCTCCACAACTAGACTGAAGAACAAAAGGACAGCAATTTGTCTGTTCCCCTTCCCCCAATTCCCCAGCGCTGTTCCCATCCCCCAATTCCCCAATAAAAATCTTTAAAAAAAAATTTTTTTTTAAAGCAAAAATGGGAATAAAAGCAATCAGACAAGAACTACTTTCTTTTCCTACCACCAAATCTACCACTGTCTTATATGTGTACCTGTATATTTTGCCTTCTATTTCCCACTAAAATGGAGACGTGACTCTGCAATGAATTAGGACTAGACATTGCATTCTAGCCTTTAGAATGTGACCAATAGGATATGGATTAAGGCAGTTCATCTGTGTACATTCTCCACCTTCGTTCTCTGTCGAACCTCTATGGCTCAAAGCGATGGACTTGTAACTGGCATCATTACAAGTGGCAAGGAGCACAGATCTTCAGTCACGGCTTGGAGAGTAGTCTGATCCACAGGTTACTGTGACATGAGTGACAAGCCTTTGTTGAGTAAGGCCACTGAGAATTCAGGTTTGTTCCCATAGCACATGCTTCACCATTCTAGCCTATCCCAACTAATATAGATGGCCATGGGTTTTGTCGGTTTCACAATGATTTCATAGTTTCAAAAAACACTATATTCCATATTTGGCTCTGCTGTTCTGTATGTAAACTTGTCCGCACTTCTAGCTCTGCATTTCTTATCTCTATATTGGTCATCAATAGATCATATCCTTTTAAAAAGGCAATGATATAGAAAATAACTTAATTTGGTTCTAATCCAGCATTTCCCAAAACATTATTCAAGAATCATTACTTCTGGAAGATATTAATATGTGTACCTGAACAGAATTTCCAAGCTTCTATAATTTTGAAAAATGCTCTATTCAACAGAACTCTCTTGGAAACACTTGCTATTATGTTATCATAGTGAAAGCTCTGAGTAGACTTGCAATGAAGAAGCCAAAGGTACTTTATACCAAGTGTTTCCCACATTTATTTGACCATGATATTTTTTTCCTGCAAACCTTTCTCAGAAGTAGTTCCATTTGTGGAAAATTAACTAAAGAGATAGCCTGAGAAAAGAGTCCTATAATTTTATTTACAAAGATGCATTTTTACCAAAAGAATATTGAATTAGTTAGGATCTATAAAAGAAACATAACCAGTAGGTTAAGTAGGAGCATTCGTTTCCTAGGATTATTGTAGCAAATTACCACAAATTAGATGGCCTAAAGAAACAAAAACATCATTCTCTCACAGATCTGGAGGTCAGAAGTTTGAAATCAAGGTGTCAGCAGGGCCATGTTCTCTCTGAGGGCTTTGTTGTGGAGGGTGCAGCTCAGCTCCAAGCCCGGTTGCCATTTTCAACCTAGTTGTGGGGGGCGCAGCCCACCATTTCAATGGGGGAGTCGCACCTGCAACCTTGTTGTTAAGAGCACGTGCTCTCACCAACTGAGCCATCCGGCTGCCCACTGGCAGTTCAGTGGCAGCTCAGCTCAAGTCATTGTCTTCAATCTACAATAATTGCAGAGGGCGCAGCTCACTGGCCCATGTGGGAATCGAACCGGCAACCCTGTTGCTCAGAGCATGCGCTCTAACCAACTGAACCACCTGGCCGCCCTTCCCTGTGTCTCTTCTGTGTCTTCACATCTCCCTTTCCTCATAGGGATACTAGTCATTGGATTTAGGGCCCACCTTAATCCAGTATGATCCCATCTTAATTTTGTTACATCTGCAAAGACCCTACTTCCAAAGAAGGTCACATTCAAAGATTCTGGGATTAGAGGCTATTACCGCAACATACCATTTTGCAGTATCTGGTTAGGCAAGTCAGAAATACATAGGGCAGGCCACAGCCTGGGAACTCGGGCAGGAGCTAAGACCGTCATCCATAGGCAGAGTTGCTTCTATGTCAGGGAAACCTCAGTTTTGCTCTTAAGGCCTTTGACTTGATTGGGTGAGGCCCACCCACACTATCGAGGGTAATGTCCTTTATTTAAAGTCAGTTGATTGCACATGTTAACCACATCTGTAAAACGCCTTCTGGATTAGTGTTTGATTGAATAACTGGGTGGTGTAGCCCAGCCAAATTTACACAAAGACCTAACCATCACAAATATCAAATTAAATTGTCAGGTCAAGAACTTTCTCATGTTTCAGCACATTCTAAAGCTCTCAGCATACAAAAGATTTGTTATTATTATTAGTTAACAAAATGTTCTTGGGTTGCCTTTATGAGACACAGGTCTGAATGAAAGGGAGAATTGATGTGATAGAGTTTCATTCTGTTCACATATTTAAAAACTAAAACACGACATCTCTGTGGCTGTTTTGATGTCTTTACTTTGAAATGATCCAAGATAGCACCTACGCTAATATTCTTATTTTTTATCAGTAGGTGAACTAGGCCCAGAGTGGAAAAGTACCTTACTCATGTTTACTTAGCAGGTTTAGACCCAACATGTGATGAGAACCAGGTCCGGTTCTCTTTCCACTGTGCCTCTCAGACAACTATCAAAGGGGATACTAGGCTATACCGAGAAAATGGATAAACTCTGGCTTTGTTCTTCCAGCAATTACACTGAGGAATCTTTTCGTGCCACTCCACTAGGGCACAGACCTCAGCAGCAAGGAACTGTCACTGTTTGGGAGAGTAAGGGTGCTTGGGCGGGAGGGTAACTCCCCCAGCAGAATGCTTTTCCTGCCCCAGACCTCTTTCAGCATGGGTTACGTCCTTCATCTGCATCCCATCTGGAACTCTATGTTGAGCCACTCTGAGCATCCAAAGTTGGCCTGCCTCCGCATTTCAATGACACTCTATGTGTTGATAGCTGAGGTGATATGTCCGCATAAATACATTAAGACGGGAACAGCAAAGGTCATAACTGTCCTTATTACTGAAGCGAAAATTTAATGAGCTAGATCACAGGCTGCTTTAAGAACGGCCGTGCCAGGTTAATGGGGCTCTGCCACTGTCGCCAATTACACTGGGTACAATTACATCCTATTCTAATAGCTGTAAGTCAGGGTTACACAAAGATTCTGTCTCTGGGTAATTACTAGCTAGGAAGCAGGTGAGGGGAAACCAAGCAAATTGTCACTGATCATACAAGAGACACACAGAGAGCACAGAGCTTGTAGCTATTCTGGGTGCGTGTGTGTCATCTGTTGCTAAGAAGGAACTGGCTTCACAGTCAGAAAGCCCTCTTCTTCTAGCACTGACCGAAAGGATATGTGATTTCAAAGACGCTTTTAGAAAAGTCGCTGAAATGTGAATAGTAAGAGAGGGGGAGGAAGAACTCAGAAAGCCCTTCTCTATTGAGACTGTTTCCCCGAGGATTTTGGAAGATTTAATGGGCTGACATTACTGAAATCTTTTTCCAACCTACATACAGGAGAGTGTTACCAAAACCCAAAATGATATTGTCAAATTTGAACAAACAAACCTCAAAGATTGACTTAATAAAAGACCTCCTTTAAATTCTCTCTTATCCTCACCCTTGTGGCTATTTACAGCTCCTTTACTACACATGGCTAAGAGGGGGCCACCGAAGGGCCATCTGACAATTGAAGATCCATCAGAAATATAGATGAAAACACTTTGAAATTTCAAAGTAACAGAATTTCCCTATGATCTCATGCATCAATTTGCATGCTATTGATTTTTGCAAACCATTTCAGGAACCAACACATCTACTCCAATTGAAACACATGTGTTCATGTTATCAGTGATTAAATATTTAACAATCCAGGGGTGTGAGGGTAATGTTTTCTTAATGAAAGCATCTGTGACATTTATTGGAACTGTGGGAATGTCACCGCAGACAAGAACAACTGTGGTCTGAGGGCTGCCTTTTGAGTAATATGATGTTTATAAGGGAATGAGTATTAAATAAATGACACAAGCAATGTCAATGTATTAGAATGTTCTTTGTTTCCAAGAGGTTAAAGTTTTTTTTTAAGATTTTATTGGGGAAGGGGAACAGCATTGGGGAATTGGGGAAGGGGAACAGCGTTGGGGAATTGGGGAAGGGGAACAGACAAGTTGCTGTCCTTTTTGTTCTTCAGTCTAGTTGTGAAGGACGTCGCTTCACAGGCCCATGTTGGAATTATCATTGCGCTTTTCCCAGGTGAGGAAGTTCTCGCCAGCCATTGGACAACAGCTCACGGCAGTTCACAAAAGCTAACGCCAGCTGCCAACCACTCACGGTAGCTTATGGCAGCCCACTGCAGTCCCACTGTGGCCTACGCCGTGGCTGATGACTCACAGCAGCCCAGCTCCAGGTCGAGCCATTGTTCACTATTTTAGCTCTAGAGGGCGCAGCGTCACTGGCCCTCATGTGGGATCCGAACCAGGGCCCTGCTGCTCAGAGCTCGCATCCTAAGCCAACTCCTAACCAATGTGCCACTCGTCCGGCCCTAAAGATTGTTTGAAAAGTGATCCTTAATATCAGTTGTTCAGACCACAATTGGAAAGACTTCCAGAATGACTCAAGACTTTTAAAATATCCTTTCAAAGTAGTGAAGTAATTCGTGGCAGAGTAGAAACAAAGGAGGAAGAGGGAGTAGTTGGTATAGAGTGAAGTTGGATCTTGTCTTACTACTGCTTGCTCTGAGATTAAATGTTGGTGATATTGCTCTTTTTTTATCATTTGAAGAAGAGAAGGAAGAAGCTTTACAGTGGTTGTATATTCATTCTGTCTCTTCTCTCTCTAAACAAAACTCATTTCTCCAAACCCTTCACCACACTCTCTAGAATATCATTTGATTTTACTCCTAATTTAAGATTGCCACTCTTTTCTTGGTTATCTTCCTTGGAGACTGTCCTTAAAGAATTCAATTCCGGGGGTGGCTGGTTAGCTCAGGTGGTTAGAGCGCAGGCTCCTAACACCAATGTTGCTGGATCGATTCCACATGGGCCAAAGAGCTGCACCCTCCACGACTAGATTGAAGACAACTACTTGACTGGGAGCTGATAGGTCCTGGAAAAATACACTGTTCCCCAATAAATGTAATAAAGAATTAAATTCCATAAGTATGTCTAATAATTTGAAAGACTCAGCTACTGCTAGCAAGGCTGCCTTGCTGGATTGCCCTTAGCTAATAAGGCCCCTGAGAGCCCTAAATAAATCAAAGGACACAATACTCTCCAGTTTAGTGTTCTATTTCTTTCAGTATTCAGTTGTACACAATGCCATCTCAGTAAGGAAGGAAATTCCACTGTAAGTGTATTGTACTTGAGAGAGCCTCAAGAAATGATTCAGCCATCCTTTCAATTGAGTAGATCCAATGCCGATCTATCTTGGATAACAGCAGTGTTCTGAATGTATAGATTTTCTACAAAACCAAACACATAGATATTCTTCTTGAATATTTATATTGACTCTGACTATTCAGAGAACATAATGATCAGCCCTGTCAATCACATACGTGCTATTACTGGACAGTATAAGAAAGAAAATAGGACATATAAGAACTAATACAAGAAAAGTGAAAAAAGTGCATCTGATGAGGAGCAATGCATCTAACACCATATATTACTTACCCCTACCTAGACCTAATACAATTCAAGAATAACAAATGGCCAAGCTTCTGAGACATAAAAAAACAAAAAACCCAAACTCAGATACACAGGCAGTTTAGTGTCATACCAATGGGTCCACATTAGAGGTAAAATAAAATAGGATCCCAAATGAGTTTTCCTGTCACTAGCAGAATCAAACTTTCTTAAAATGGAGTTCAAGAATGACCCAGTTCCATGCATATTCTATAATCTTGTTACTTAAAGAGTGGTCCATGGACTGGAAGTATCAGTATTACTTGGGAGCTTGTTAGAAATGAAAAGCCTCAGACCCCATCCCCAGAGCTACTGAATCAGACTCTGCCTTTTATCAAGATCCCAAGATGATCTGTAAGCACATTAAAGCTTGGGAAGCACGGCCTAAAACACAATAGACTACGAGGTTCCAGTGTCTACTTCCATTAGGATCTTTGTAGAACACTTAAAACATTCCAGTTTTTTTAGTTTTCATGTCTTATTCATTTCTTAAAATTAGTTTCAGGTGTACAAACCAACATAGTGATTAGACATTTACACCCCTCACAAACTGATAAACTGCTCTCCCCCAAGTCTACTACCCCTCTGACATCGTACCAGATCTGTCTACAGAGTCAGTTTCATGAATCTCCCAGCAGGTCTATACTCAAATTTGTGTCTATATTATGAGACATGAAAGAAATTATTGGTAAATGACTATACTAAGGCGAGCATAATCTTAGTGCAATGACCACAGTATGTGCCGTTTTTAATCTTTTTAATCTATTCTATCACTCACTATAATGTTTTTTTGATATTCATCAATATTATTGCGGTGCCAGGTTTCATTACTTTGTATTAATGACTAGCCTTCCATTACGGATATACCTTGTGCACCCACACACCCATCGATGGGCAGTTGCATTGTTTCCAGTTTTCTGGTTGTTATAAATAAAGCTAAGAACATTCCTTCAAGTTTTTGTATAGACATGTTTTCATTGCCCTTGAATAAATACCTAAGAGTGTAAATGGCCAGATCATATGGGAGGTTTGTTTAACTTTTGAAGAACTGTCAGTTTTCCAAAGTGATTGTACCATTTCATATTGATTGTATCATTGTGTATGATTTCCAGTTGTTCTGCATCTTTGTAAACACTTGTAATTGTATGTTTTTTTTATTTTATCCATTCTAATAGGAGAGAAGTAGGATGATCGGCATCTCCACCAAGACTTAAATATGGCCACATTAGCTTGGAGGGATTTTAGGTAAGATATACAAAATACTAGGTAATGGTGGAGGGTGGGAGAGAACGGAATGAACCATAGAATAGGGGTGGCCATGGGGAATGACTTGGATAAAATATCAAGTCATGTGAACCTCCAGAGTTGAATGCCATCAATGAGGAAAGTGAGCAGGTCAGTTTTGGAATGCTTTTTAGAGGGTTCTAAAGAAAATCCCCTTTATCCAACTAGAGAAATGTTGCCTCCCCAAAATCACCCCAACAGAGGTGTTAGGTGTGGCACTTTAATGTCAAAGCCACTTCATGACCTCAGCATTTATCACCCCATGTTGATGTCTGAAGGGGTGCTTTGTGATGTCTAAGCTTTCCTTAGCATAGTGCCTAACTGACCAATCAAACTGAAGGGTGTGGCTCCCCATTGTCCTGGGAGTGTATATATAGTGAGGCCAGAGGCAGAGGCACTGGGTTAGGCTCCTTCTTGGTTTCATCATGACTAAACTAGTCAGAAACCCAAAGGAGCCTAAAATATATATAGTACAACCGATCTCAAGAATCAAAGGGAAGAAGAGGAAGATCCTCTGTCACCTGAGGTCTAGGGAGAATGGCAAGGTGAGATGACCCCAACCAAGCTCCTCCTCTTCCCCACGGACTTTGCCTCCCAAGATGTCTCCCTAAGCTTGCCTGACACAAAACCCCTCACGGACCCACATCCCTTTTCATGAATTCCCCCTTCTCACTCAGTCATCATCCTCTTTCTCTAAAACTAATGGCTCACTGGGCTCATTCTCTTGCCCTTCCAGATGCCAAAGACAGCCACGAAGGCAAAAAGACCCCTTCAAGGGAATTCAAGAAAGAAATCTCAACCATTTACCACTCAGTCAAAGAAGCTTAAAAACCCAAGAACAATCGTCTGTTACCGTATGCTGAATAAGAAATGGAATCAAAGTAAAAGAAGAAATCAAAATAAGAGATGGAATCAAAGGAAGACCTGTAACCAAACGAAAAGGAATCAAAAGTCAGCCCATCTTCCCAAAAAAAGACTCGGGAAGAGCTCACCACTTCACAGAACCCGTGCAGCCAGACGCTAAATAGCAAAGTCCAGAGACCTCAGAAATATCTGTTGTGTCTCCAGAGGCCTGGTTTTCTAAATCTTACACCAACCGGGTAAGCCATTGGCTGTAATTAAAATAAAAATGAAGTAGCAAAAAGGTGATGTTTGTTTGTGTCTGTGAATTTTCTGATGATGGGGAGGGGGTGAAGAAAGAAAAGGCATGCACATGAGAAGGGAGGGATGTGGGGTCTGGATGAATGGGGGTCACGCTCTTAGGGATTAGCGACAAGGACTGGGTCAGTACTGACCACTGAGGACAAATTTTCTTAACATTTTATCTTGGGCAAGGGGTAAAAGGTGGTGTTATTGCATTGGTTTGGGGTAGGGAGCAACATTAGGGTCTGGATTGCCAGAATCCAGATGGGAAGAGGGTTTGATGTGTGGAGGGTGATAATGATACTGCCCCAAAAGGGGCAGGCAAAGAAATTACCTCCTGACCTCCTACCTCATAGTGGGGTTTGTTATACCCCTTCTTATGATGTAAACCTAAAGGTGCTCAGAAGGCACAAAACACTCACCCTACTGAAAGTCACCAACACTCCCAAGGACTGAAATAATGTTTGTAGGGCACAAACCCAACACTGATTAGGCCACTTTCTTGCTCAAAACCTTGCAATAGAACAGTGTCGTCCCCCGCCCCCCAAGGGCTGGGCAGTGGGAGTGAGCCTCCCCAGTGCAGGAGAAAAAGGGGAATATTTCTGGCATTTTTAAAACAAGTCTAACCCTGAGTAAAAGCTGGTCTTTCTATTATCACCATAACCCAACATTTCTAAAGAACTACAGTAATAAAACACCCTTCTTCCATAAAGCCTTTTGCTAGTTCAAGTTCTAAACGTTTGTGGTGGTTTAAGTTTTAAAAGTATAAGGTTCATTCTAAAACTAAACAAAACACTCAACTCAACTCAAAAATGGCAAAAGACTTAAGTATATAGATCTCCAAAGATATACAAATGGCCAATAGGTACACAAAAAGATGCTCAGCATCATTAGTCATCAGGGAAATGTAAGTTAAAACCAAGTTAAAACCACAATGAGGGTCTGCCGAGTGGCTCAGTTGGTTAAGAGCTAGCTTAAGAGCATGAGCTCTCAGCAACAGGGCCGCTGGTTCAATTCCCACATGAGCCAGTGACGCTGCACCCGAGCTGAGCTGCCACTGAGCTGCCAACAGGTGGCAGGATGGCTCAGCTGGTGTAACAACAAGATTGCCTGTTCCATGGTGGGCTATGCCCGCCTGCAACTAAGACTGAACTCAGCACCTTGAGCTGAGCTGCTGCCCGGGTGGCTCAGTGGATAGAACGTACGCTCTTAACAAGTCTGCTGGTTTGACTCCTGCATGGGATGGTGGGCTATGCCCACCCACAACTGAGACTGAACTCGGCACCTTAAGCTGAGCTGCCGCCTGGATGGCTCAGTGGAGAGAGCATGCACTCTTAACAAAGAGGCTGCTGGTTTGACTCCCACATGGGATGGTGACTATGCCCACCCGCAACTAAGACTGTAACACAGCACCTTGAGCTTAGAGGCCACGAGCTGCGGATGGGCAGCCAGATGGCGACTGGCGCCCTCCACAACTAAGATTGAAGAACAACAACTTGGCTGATCCCCCTCCCCAATTCCCCAACACTGTTCCCCTCCCCCAATTCCCCAATTAAAAAACAAACAAACAAAAAACCACAAACAGACACCAGTTCACATATACTAGGATGACTATTGTGAAAATAAATTAAAAGTAACAACTGTTGGTGAGGAAGTGGAGAAATTGGAGACCTTAGGCATTGCTGATGGGAAGGTAAAATGGTGCAGCTGCTGTTGAAAACAGTTTGGTGTTTCCTCAAAAAGTTAAACATAGAATTACTAGGGAGTGGGGGCAAGATGGTGGAGGAGATAAACACTGTGCTTGCCTCCTCCCGTCACCACATTAAAATTACAACAAATTATAGAACAATCAACCTGGAGAACCATCTGAAGTCTAGCTAAACAGAAATCCTATGAGATGTGATCAAACAATACGGTGAATGTTTAAATAAAAAAAATTATTACAGTAAAAGACACATTGCCATTAATCCCCATCAAAATACTCCCCCTCTCTTGGAACACACTTACCCCATCGTTCTTGCCACTTTCTGAAGCAGTTCTGGAAGTCCTCTTTGTGACTGTCTTTAGTTGCGTTGTCATGGCTGCCTCAATGTCCTGAATCATTTTGACTTTGGGGAAGAGCTAGAAGTCACACCATGCCAGATCTGGTAAATCAGGTAGATGAGGACACACCGTAATGTTTTCATGTGACAGAAATTGCCGTACCAGAAGCTGTGTGTGACACAGAGCATTGTCACGATGGAGGATGAAGTAAAGACCTTTACGAAAGAGGACTTCCAGAACTGCTTCAGAAAGGGGCAAGAATGATGGGATAAGTGTGTTTGAAATGAAGGGGAGTATTTTTGAGGGGGATTCATGGCAATGTGTCTTTTACTGTAATAATTTTTTTTATTTAAAATCACCCTATCTTGAAAAGGGTAACTATTGCATTGTTCTGTACACCTGAAACTAACAATAAATAAATAAAAAATAAATAAATAAATAAAAAATAAAAATAAAAATTATTAAGGCTCAAAAAAAAAAAAAGTAAAAAAAAGTAAAATCACCCTATCTTTTGATCACACCTCAGGCAGTGGAAAGCCTTTATTTACTGGTTAAGATGTATCAGTGTGCATTGTACGAGGTAGTTTTTATATAGGTTTGCTCATCTAATGCTGACAAATGCTGCATGATTTGGATTTTATTGTCCACATTTTGCAGAAGGGTGAACTGAGGTGCACGGAAGTTATATTTTCTTGCCCATAATCAATCAACTAATATATATGTGAATGTTTGGCATTTAAAGCCGATCCCCACCACCACCACCACCACTGAATGGAGAGCTCCGCTTGCTCATTCGGTGATTAGTAATTTGTGAGTTCCTTCCCAGGATGAATGAGATGATCTTAAAAATATCAGGAGAACGACAAGTGCTGGTATATGCTTTATGGCTAGCTTCAGAAAGTGGTAGGGGTTGGGGATGATGCTGTCATTGATCAGACAAACTTGAAAGGTAAAGTAAAAGAGTTGAGACAAAGGAGGCTAATTACAAATAGAGATCATATCCATAATTTCTGATTATGTGACAAACAAAAATAAAAACGCTTAGGCAGATGGGTGTAATTTGGACAGCAGGGGATTTTGCATAGGTGAAAACAGAGATTGTTGTGATGGCCAAACTCAAAGTCCTGTGCAAGTACGTGAAGAGTCCTCACGTAAAAATGTATTAGTAATGAGATGGACAGTTTCATTACAGAGTGTGTTGTTCATGTTTATAGGCTATTAGATATAGGAAATGAGGCAAAATTGTTGTTCTTATATACTTCTACCCAATCAGATTATGTTGATTGGTCAAAGTTCAAGAAAAAAGTTCTGGTTTTACTTTGATCCAGCTCCCATATCCAAGGGAATCCAGAACTGGTAGTCTATTAGCTGCGGAAGAATGGGAGCAGTGTTCTATGGAACACAATCCCCCACAGGAGGAAATTCTCTGAGGTGGTTGCCCAGACTCCAAGTGAGATAAGCAAAGCAATTCTATTACCTGACAGCACATATCTCATTGTATGTCTTGGGCAAATGGCTTTGTCTTGCTGTATCCACCTTTCTCATATGTAAACCAGGGCATATAAAATATTTCAATAAATTGATATAAAAATGAAACAATGATGCACTTATTACTAGACTGGCAAGAATTAGAAAGCTGGATGATGCCAAGTCCTGGTTGAGATGTTGGGACATTGCAGTGATAGGAATAGGGGCTGGTACAGCCATTGGGATGAGTAATCTTGTACTAACTAGGCAATGTTTCATATGCATACTTTACAACCCAGTGATACTGTCTGTGGGGATTTATCCCAAAGAAATTTTCACACAGGTCCATACATTCACACGTAATGTATACATTATGGATAAAAAAGAGGATGGTGTGGCATGAACCATAAATATTGCTGAGGCTTATAGCTGAAATCATTCCCTAGTAACATCAGAAACCTCCTTCTAGCTTCGCATTCTAATTGCATAATGTAACAAAATACTTCCTGCTCTTATTAAGCCTTAAAGACAAGATATTTATACGCTTTTGGAACCAGACATTTTGTAAATTGTTTTAGAGTGTGGAATATTTAATTTGGTGCTAACTTTCATTTTGAAGATTTTTTTTAAGGTTGAAGGACTATTCAATCAAATAAACTGAAAACTTTCAGAGTTCCCACTCAACACCAAGACCTCTGCTGGTTTTGCAGATATAGAAGCACACATCAGGCAGAGTCTGTGACCGCAAAAAGCCTGTATGACCTCAGAAAACATCTGAGAAAAAAACTACACACAGTTTTTTCACCCATCAGCTTTTAAGTCAGTGATATGGTATCTTTTATCTGGAGTGCAGATCTCTAATTAAATCTTTCTGGCACTTTAACTCTAGGGAAATCCAGTTGATGATTCAAAGTCAGTCATTGAATGTGATTTAAAATCAATAAGAGTGAAAGACACTCTGGGTGTGCTGTACTTTCAGAGGAAGTAGGAGCATTTTCATGCCTTGTTTGCAGAAAATCTATTATCTAAAGCAGTTACCAGGATAATATGGACAGAGAGAGTTCATGTCTATGGGTAGGCCAGTGTTCTTATTTCTGATCTGCGTACATTATAACCATTTAACACTATTACATTGAATGCTCTGTTGTAGGACCTACTGAAATGCTTGCTGTTATAGTAGTGGGTTACAGATTTCTATACCTGGAGAGCTCTGGTTGACCCAAAGCAAATGTTAGAGTGCCTTGTTTCCTAAAAGAGCCCTGCTATGTACTTATATATTCGTGGATACATTGCCACATTCCGCAAGAATTGTGGATACTTAGAGTTAAAAAAGGATACTTAGGGGGGCGGCCAGGTGGCTCAGTTTGTTAGAGCGGGTGATCTGAACAACAAGGTTGTTGGTTCCACTCCCGCA